CGAGTTTGCAAGCGAAGCAGGCACCTTGGTTCTACAAAGGTTCCAGTGTTTGCTATAAGCACCTTCGCTAAATGAGAGACTTGAAGAAATAATAATAATAATAATAATAATAATAATAACACTTTCAGCAACTATACGGATTCCATCAAACAGTGGTATCAATGTATGTATCACTGAGTTGTTAAAAATGTTATATGCGAAGTCTCCGTTTTGATCTGTAGAATTGAATTGAACTTAATTTAATTTAAAGAAGAAGAAAACAGTTATATTGGAAACTTACAACTCGAACACAATACCCCCTTATTCTTTTAATGTAATAATATACAAATATTTAAATCTTAATGTTTTTCAACTGAAGTTTGCATGAAATTGTAAGCATTGTCCCCTTATAGTTAACATATACTAATCCTAATACACATTAGATAAAATGTAACATTGTCAAAATTAGTTAATTTTTACACAATAAATTATACTCAAAAAGTAGTGTTTATATCATAGCTGTTAAAATGCATGCCAATATTAAATGTAAATAAGTAGTTCTTAACTTTTTCAATATTGAGAGCTTCACTATCCGGATGAATTATTCCGATAAATATTTTGCAATATGAATGCGTACGTAAAATGTAATATCTAACTTTAATTTATCTCTAGATAATTAAGCATTAAATAATTAGCAAATTATTATCATTTCATGGTATTGAAAACAAAAAATAAAAAGGAATGTTTTCTCACGAGAGCAGCACTGACTCCATCGTCAGAAAAGCATCTCTTCGGTGACGACGGTGTAGTCGCACTTCATGCGGCGACGAGTAACCCGGGTAGCCCTTGTAGTAATATCCTTTGTACGAGTAGGGTTTTTTCTTTGTGTACGTCTCGTAGTACACTTTGCTGTCCGCTCCTTTCTGCTTTTTCGTGTACTCCATTTGAGTAGGTGGGCCCATCGCCAGATTGTCGTGGTAGTCCCAGTCGTGGTGGTGGAAGTGATAGTCTGGTGGCATGGTGGTTGGCGGAGGCGGGGGAGGTTCCTTCATTTTCGGGAGTTTGAACTTTTCCACGATTTGGCTGGCGTCCCCGGGTAGCTCCCACGCCGTGCCGATCGTCCACGACATGATGAAAGGGCGAGGTCGTAGGTTGACTGTGGGCACCGCCATTTCGAACACCAACTGTTCAAACAAAATTATAATTACTCCTGACTTCGACAGAGCAGACATTAAATAAGTACACACGACAAAATTCAGAAATATCGTATTTGGGGGAGAATTCAGGAAATTAAATTAACTCTACATTTTTTAATATCATCCCCACTCCTACAATAATTTGGTTGACGTCAATAACATAGTAACCTTTGGGTGTTCTCTAAAACATGTCGATAGATTCCATTATTTGCTACTTTTTGGGCTAAGTGTGCTTCAATGGCCATGTATGCGTTAACTCATAAAAATATATGATTTACTAATCATGTAAAAGAAATGTTTTTCCCTTGTTTATTAACATCGAAATCTAAAAATTAATATGTAAATGGGTGTGTGAACTTTGAGAGCATAATTGTTTAAAAATAAGAAATTATTGTCTTTTTTGCAGTCCACATAAAGTAATTACTAATAATTTTCCACGTAATCGCGTTTTGAAAATACCCAAAAGTTTGTCTTATTTCGTGCTCGACTAATGTTGCAAATTCGCAATACTTTAAGCAAATCTTCAGTGAATCAGGTCAATTAAATAATAAATTCAAACAGAAAATATTTAATGTTGTAAATTGAAACAATGTGTTCCACATGGCTTGAAGCACATTCACGAACTACTTGTGAAACTGTGTATCAAAGTTCCTCTGCATATTGAAATTAATCCTGTTAGAGGTGCTCCCATGGCACTCAAGAAGTGTGCAATTCTTCACGCTACATCTTTAAAATATATATTTTTCGTAAGATACGCGAAATCATATGAAAAGTGATCTTATAACCCAAGAGCATTACTCGAGTTTATTTTTATAAAATTTAAAACGTTCCAAATGCATCTCTATTGAGACATAACGTCTTCTTAGAATACCAGATTGATGTAGATAAAATAATTGATGTATTAGTTTATGTACCAGTAAGTCAAGAAGAGCATTATTTAACATTCTGCAGAGAGTGGATGTGTATTCCCAACATGTTTGTGATGAAGCCATTGTGGATCGAATCTATATAATTTACAATTTTATATGGATTAACAAATTGATAAATAATGGGGAAGTTAATATGAAGTACATAAAATATATTCTTTTAGTTATGTATTTTTCTCCGTCATTAGTAATTCCATTGTAATGTATCCCTATACTAATTACATCAATCTTATCATTCTTAAATCCTTCCATCTCAAAACAATTTCAATATTCAATTATACAAGTGGTTTTCTGTCGTGGAACAAGAGTCCTGCGGGACCCACCGTACCTGCAAAGAAGCGCCTTCAGGAAACACGATGTATCGCCTGCGGCGCGCGAGGTGCTTTGCGTCGGAGTCCCCTTGGCCCATCAACAGCAGCAGGAACGTGGCCCTGAGGAGGGCGCGCAGCGTGGGCGGGTGCATGGCGCCCGGGTCGCGGAATGGCGCCGGCCTGGCGGCGCGCAACGGCCCGCAAGAGCGAGAGCGCCGACGGCCTCCGCGGCGCGTCATCGCCCGCCCGTCCGCGTCCGCTCGCCAAGTGACCGGTCACGGAGCAACTGTTGTTGCCGCAGAACGACGCCCGCGTGTGCGACCGAGCTGAAGTGCATGCTAGCGGCTGAGGACAGTAGTTGATC